CTTTGGAATGACTAACATTAAAAAAGACTAATAGTACCAAGTGCTTGCAATGATGAGGAGGAATGAAACTCTCATACATTAGTAGTACAAGCACTTTGGAAAACAGATTGACAGTTTCTCATGTTAACCATATATTTAACTCCTAGTATTGATATAATACAGTAACTTGAATCTACTTTCTAAGTAGATTTCTACTTTCCATGGTCCATCGCCTGTTTTATTTAGTATGGCTTATGAGCTAAGAATGGTTGTTACATTTTTAAAGGGTTATTAAACACACACACACACACACACACACACACACACACACACACCCACACACACAAAGAAGAATATACATCATGTGACCTGAAAAGCCTAAAATATTTACTATCTGGCCCTTTACAGAAAAAGTTTGCCAACCCTGTTGAAAGTCAGAGGCTTTTGAACTTTTTGGGTCATAATCCACAGGAATACATTAAGAATCCACCCCAATATTTTCATCTATCTACCTACCTATCAATCAGTCTTCTACTGACTACTGAAATAAAAATTTCACAAAATAACCCTTACTGCCACTTAAGTTGCAACTTTCCGTTCTCTTATTTCCTTCCTTTTCTTATCCTATTTCATTATTTAAATAAAATTCTGAACATAACCCACTGAATTCTTTTTTTTTAATAAATTTATTTTATTTATTTATTATTTTTGGCTGCATTGGGTCTTTGTTGCTGAGCACTGGCTTTCTCTAGTTGCAGCGAGTGGGAGCTACTCTTTGTTGCGCTGCATGGGCTTCTCATTGTGGTGGCTTCTCTTGTTGCAGAGCACGGGCTCTAGAGCACAGGCTCAGTAGTTGTGGTGCACGGGCTTAGCTGCTCTGCGGCATGTGGGCTCTTCCCAGACCAGGGCTCGAACCCATGTCCCTGCATTGGCAGGAGGATTCTTAACCACTGCGCCACCAGGGAAGCCCAATTCTTTTAATAAATAATTACCAAAGGGCTTCCCTGGTGGCGCAGTGGTTGACAGTCTGCCCGCTGATGCAGGGGACACGGGTTCGCGCCCTGGTCCGGGAAGATCCCACATGCCGCGGAGCAGCTGGGCCCGTGAGCCATGGCCACTGAGCCTGAGCGCCCGGAGCCTGTGCTCCGCAACCGGAGAGGCCACAACAGTGAGAGACCCGCGTACCACACACACACAAAAATAATAATTATAATAATAATTACTAAAGAGTCGCAACCCACCATTTGAAAAACATAACATTAAAATCAGCTTAAATGTGTCTCCTACTTAGAATAGTCTTAGCTTGTGAGCCAGTCCAAATGAAATGTTGAGTTTGCTTTTCACTTTAGAGCCTTTGTCTCCAGCTCAAAGGAGACCTTGTTTCTGTTCCCGTTCCTCTGATAAACTTCCCCTTTAAATATCTTTGTTTATTGTTTTTCTTCTTTTTCTCCAGTTTTACTAATCCCGTCTGTCTCTGGCCTGTTTAATGCACGGACTCAGTACAGACACTGTGGCAGACCCCACCTGCACCCTCACCACCGACAGGCCAGGCAGAGAACCAATCTAGGTAAAGACTCAACACACGTGCTCCAAACATTCCTGCTGACCAGTGGGAATGAGAATCACCATCATCCAGAGGAAAGGTGATCTAAGCCACGCTTTATACATCCATCCTAAGTTAAAGCAGTGGACTGGAAGCCACATCTTGGCACCCAGCCTCATTCTAGGACTCACTCCAGTGAACACTGGGTAGTTCACAGGTGACGTGAAGTAGCACCAAGCACAGAAAAGACATATAAGACATGTTCTCCTGGTAGATACAGATAAACAAGTGAGGCATGTTCACTAATCCTTACACAGAAACTACCTCTTTTGATACCTTCAACTTCTAGCTAGGATTTACTCTTCACCTTAATTTTCAGATAGTCTGGGCTGTTTAACGAATCATTCTCTCTTCTAACCTGACAGCCTACCTTAGAATTTACCTCTTCAGAAAATGTCTTCTGACTAAATCTACCCAAATCTGATTATGACTTTATCCAGCACCTTAAAAAAAATCCAATCTGCACTTAAAAAATGTCAGAGCTAAAAGGGATCTCGCACACCATGCGGTGCAGTCGGCTCCTGGGAGAGGCAGCTCCATGACATGTGGGCACTAGAGCAGACACCCTGGATCCCAGCCAGCACCAGCACGTACAGACTGTGTTGCTACAGGCAGTTTCCTCATCAGCCCCACTGAGCCTCACTTTTCTCATCTGTAACACAGTCCCTGGCGTTTAGTAAGAATTCAACTAATAGTAGCTACTTACTGTTAATGTTATTCAACTATGCCTTAGAAATGACCCCTTATAAAGGTGAATATGACTTGCCCCGAGTTAGTAATAGTAGGCCCCTAAGGCGGTCTGAGCAGAGACTCTCACCATTCCTCTCCTGGACCACAACGATAACTCGCTAGATGGTCTCTATAACCACTGTTCAATTCATCTTCTACACTATAACCAAAATGGTCCCTTTTAGAAAACAAATTTGATTAAAATTCCCATGCTTAAAAATGTTCACTGATTCCCAGTGTTCAAGGGACTGCACTGGAGTTCAAAGGACTCCAGTGTTCAAACAATGCAAACTCTTTAGCAGCTCATCAAGGGCCCTTCACAATTTGGCCCTAACCCGTCTTTTGAATGCTGTCTCCACCCACCATCCCAAAGAATGCTACGCTTAAGCTGTTTACGACCTCTACCTTCCTCCAAAATTGCTGTGCTCTCTCACCCCTCTATGCCTTGGTCCTGGTTATCCCTCTGTCAAAAACATTCACTGTCTTCAACTGGACAGCTCCATCACCCAGGACTCAGGCCAGCGTTCTGTCCGTTGAAGCTTCCACAGCTCCTGCAGGCTCAGTCACTGCCCTAATCCATTGTTCTACACATGACTTCCTGACTCTCTACTGTTGCAGGGTAGGGGCTGCTTCTCTTTCATCTTTCTGTACACGTGGCCTTGTTCAGTACCCGTCATAGAGGCTGCTCACTAAATAGCTCTGGAACGAATGAGTGAATAAATTAACAAATGAAAAGATGGATGGTTAAATGAATTAACAAATAAAGAAACTAAGAGCGTCTAGGTCCCAGGTTGCTTCTCATTTCACTAAATCTGCCTTTGCTTACATACTAATTGTTTTAGAAACAGATTAACACAGTTTTCACTCATGTATATGATGTCTCTTGAATTAGGTTGGAAACTTCTAAAGGTCATGTGCACCTTCTCACTATGCTTTTCACTCTCTCAGACCCAGATACATCAGGGTTTGATAAAGTTTCTGAATGCTCTCTTTTGCAACATACTTGCACAACAGGTATTTTCTTCCTTGTTATGAGGGAAGTTCCTGCAAAGGTTTTATTTCAAAGAGTGTTGTAATAAGATGTTATCCTAGTGCAGTCACGAAAAAGGAATAACCTCCTGATTTATTTTCTTGCTGACAGCAGAAGAAAAAACATTCAAGGTTCCATCTCTTTACATGTTTAAATGAGTCTGTATTTTAGTGTTCAGAACCTTCAAAATATATATTATTTGCTTGTGTAAAACATGAAAATATGGGCTCAGTGGAAATGCTATTTTCAGTCTCTTTCATGTCCCTGTCAAACTTTCAGAAATACTTTTTAAAGGGACATACCTACTACATTAAGCTTGAATCTACTCTCATACGTGTTTAGAAAGTATTCAACCAAAGAGGTAGCTTCTAAGTATGAAACTTTCTTTTATTCCTGGTAACTGACAGAAGAGACAAAATTTGGCAAGAATATAAAGGGCAAGATTAAGGTCCTCCATAAACATGAGAATAAGCAGGTTCTCAGACATGCTGACTATCACACACCCTATCTATTGAATCTAGATCAATCGTTCTCAACCAAGAGGGACTGTGCCCTGCCAGGGGACATGTGATGACAGCTGAAGACATTTTGGTTATCACAACTGGGAGCTTGCTACTGGCATCTAGTGGATAAAAGCCAGGGATACTGATGGTTCTAAACATCCCACAACGCACAGAACAACACCCCCATAATAAAGAATTATCTGGCCCCAAAGGTCAATACTGCCAATTGGGAAAGCACGCCCTAGAATTATAGATTTCCTCATCACTGAGGCAAAACAGTAGAAGAAGATGTGATCACATTCCTAATTATTCTCCCCTCCCTGAAAAACCTAGAATTAGGAGGAAATGAATTATGAAGGTATTTTCATAGTTCAGTACAAGAGAGCATTTGGAAGGAAACAGGATAGGGAAAAACAGGGGGCATTTCAAGCAACTAAGTTCTTAGAAGGAAAACATATTTAAGACATTTTCATTTCCATTGTAGCAAATGTTAGCATCTGCAATGGGTTTTAACTATCCAGGCAGATGGATAATTGGAACTAAAGTCAGACTACAAAGCCTACACCCACTCCAGGAGGAAAATTTCCCAAGAGCTAAATGAGTTTTAGGTACAAGACTTTCAGTGGCTTTAATAAACATAATAACTCTCATGGATGATTTTAAAGGGGATTAGAAAGTTGAAACATGATGCATCTCCAAAAAAGCTAACCATTACAATGGATATTTTAATAGAATAGGCAAATGGGAATATTCTAATTTCAAAGGGACAATTCAGAGGAAGCATATTCATTGGACCTCATGACAGACATAACCAGATGAGAAAAGATACCCAGGGAAGATTATTTTCCATTACCTCTACACCTATATTTGCATTGCAAAATAATCTTTACTAAAATGAATACGGGTTATCTGCTTCCAAATGGAAAGACAAAAACAAAACTGTTCAAACTAAATATTTTAAGAATATATATGGGTGCCAGGTTTTTTGAAAAGACCTTTTAGTGGAGGCTACTACAATTAATTAGTTGAGACTTTGGCCAAACCACCTGTGAGTACTGCTCTCTTTCCTAATGTACAATTCTACAACAGCACAACACTGTTCTATATTCCTAAACATAGAGACCTCCAAACAAACTCCCCAGGGACAAATACTAACCACCAATCTGTGATAAAAATCTCTTCTTTGGCCTCTTCCATTGCATTTGCCACATCTTCAAAATATCCTTTGGCATTAACATACCTGAAAGACAAGTTTTCTGTTTCATTTTTTGAACAAAACAAACAAACAAAAAGGAATCTATCGTATGGCAAAAGAGAAGATGGAAGCCACTGCCTAGAGTTTCTACAAAACCACCAGTTTACTTTGTATAACTGGAAACAAGGATTGAAAACACCTTCTGTCTGCTATGTAGGAAGTACAGTAAGTAGACAGGAGTAGGCAACCTGATTCTTTTCTGCTGAGAGAATAACGCATTGATTGGTCTTATCATCGTATGGGGTCAGATGAATTCTCCCATCCTGTCGAACTCACACACGGTTGTTCTTCTGAGACTGAAAGCAGACCAGCTTCTAATCCATGGGTAGAAAAGCATGCTAAGCAGGATTTCATTTAAAAGAATTACCTGGCAAGTAAATTCTCTTTCTTAAATTATGGCTAATGACTTAAATAAACTTTCCATTTGCATCATTAAGAAAATGTATGAAATTAACTTTGTAAATCAAACTTCAAAATCTAAAGCTAGCTATCTAAAGCTCTCTGTAAAAAATCATAAAAGCAAAAAGTGGAAAACTAAGTGCTGCTCAGGTAGTCCTATAAAGAAAGTCCCTTGTTAAGTATAATGCATAATATCTTTTCACAGCTTCAAAAATTGATTCCAGGTGAATTTAGACCACTACAAGATTAAATGCTATGACTACTGTGATAGTCTTAGAGCAAAAAGATCTTACCATTTAGCTAAAGTGTTCTCTTGGATAGCAGCATAAGACCCAAATCGATGATCTTTGAGAAAGTTGGGGCCATGTTTATGGATGAATTCTTCTATAGCCCCTCCCCACCACCGAGCATGTCTATAGCTGTTGCATTTTAAAATCAGTGTCCTTCAAAGAAAAGCAAAATGTGGAAAAGAATGGTCACTCTGTGTTCTGTCTCTTTAAACAATTTAAGAATTAAACATGTCCCATTTTGTTTTGTTACTGCAGCAAACATAAGTGGAAAATTTTAGGCAAAGAGCACCTTACCTATATCAGAAAAGTAGATTTTTAAATGTTTTTGGCAGGATTTAAAACTATATTCAACGTAGTGAAAACAAACCTTCAGGTTACTTATTCCCTCATTCACTTATGCAAACTTGTGTAAAGGCACTTATTACAGGCCTCGAGCTCGCTGTGCTACACTGTGAGATGGACAACGGAAAAGACATAAGGTGAGGTCCTACATCGAAGTGTTAGAGAGTTGTTGGCTCCTGTAGAGGACATTTCCCTTGGGACTGCCTGGTGTCCATTCCCTCAGCCTCCCTTCCCTACTCTGCATCCACCAAAGCCAACAAAATGGCATCTTCCAGCCCCTGATCTCAAAGATTGGTTCAGGGATGAGGACATTAGCCAATTCCACCCAACAAGTGAGAATAAATGCAAGGACTTGCTCAGAAATGCCAAGAAGAGATTCTTTCCCTTCCACTGAACTTGGTTTGAGTGTAAGAGGCAGCCATCTTGCTACCACCAGGGGACCAGCCTGAGGATGGTGCAGATCCCAGGAGACAGAGCTGAGAAAGGCCAGGAAAACGCATCTCAGGGACATAGTTGGAAGCTTGGAATCAGCCATGGTTAACGTGGCTTATTAGTTACTTCTGATGTAACCCAGAATGCACTGGATTTTTCTACTGCCAATGACTAAACTATCCTAAATGGTTACAGATTTATAAGTGCTGAAAAAAAATTCAGAGTAGGAGATCATAAGGAGTTATTACATGACAAATGTCAGAAATGGTGATTACCACCAAGAGGTGGAAATAAGTTATCCAAATTTGAAGTTCAGAGAAAACAAGGTGTTGGAGCCAGCGGTCTCTCTGCCATTTAGGGAGAAACCCACCTCAGTATAAAAGCCCTGTGAGTGAGGAGGGAGAGTTTGCCTTTGGGGGGAAATGCAATGATCCTGATGAGAAGCAGGGGAGGGGCTATATTCACAGACCCCAAAATAATTATTTATAAAGATTAGGGATGTCCAAACATCCTAACATTGATGCTTGGCTTTTGTCTGGGGGGTGGCGAGGGGCGAGGTGAGACGTGGTGGTGCTGGGAGCAGTGAGGCATTCTCCATCGGCCGCCGCAGGGCCGACACAGGACTCTGCGGGCAGGTCAGGAGGCCATGGAAAGTGCCTGGGCTTGAGCCAACATGCTAGTACTACTCCAACTGAGTTGAAATGCCTCTGAAAACCAGTTATGAGAAACAGATATTGTAGAAGAGATAATGACAAACAGCGGTCTTATCACAGGATGTGAGTCAGAGTTAAGAAAAAAAAAAAACATTTCAAACATGGAGATAGGAAGAAGAAAGGTGAAGAGGAATTTAAAAATGTGTGAGAAGGGATGGTGAAGAGAACCGTCTTCACAGAACTGAAAGGCTGTATTAGGGAGGGTTGCTAATAAAGGCAGAGAGACAGAAGGCCTCAGATTGTAAATGGAGGAACTTAGGCTTGTTCGATACAATGAGGAGGACCACTTACACCAGGGAGGAAGCAGATGAAACCTGGATCTGTATGGATTCATTTGGCAAGGGTGTGCAAGTGAGTGAGGATGGGAGATGGAGGTAAGATGGCCAGTAAGTAACTGTTATAGCGACCAATGAGAATTGTGGCCTGATATCTATGGTCCCCCAGAAAACAGGGAAGTACAGTACCAGGAGAGAGGTGGGGTTTTTTTTGTTTGATTGTTTGTTTGTTGGCCGTGCCACGCGGCTTGTGGGATTTTAGTTCCCTGACCAGGTATTGAACCTGGGCCCTGGGCAGTGAGAGCTGAGAGCACAGAGTCCTCACCCCTGGACCACCAGGGATTCCCAGGAGGGAGGTTTATTGGCAGCACCACTACATTTCCAATAACCAATCCTGAACCTTCTATTGTCAGAGATCAGGAAGTTCAGCACTTATTTTCACACACACAAACACACATGCAAACATATTACTGAGTAGCATATTTATATAATATATATATATATATTTAATGTCAGCGTGTATAAAGAGAGAAATGTATAAGTATTTATATACATGAGGCTGGACTTCATAGAGACAGATGTATATATAAAGACACGTATATTGTATAACTACAGTCTTCCAGAAACAAACATTTATCAACACACACACACACACTCGCTAATAAAATCTATAGTAAATGTACAGTTGAGTATCCTTCAAGGTATCTTTCTTAAAATCTGTATGTAAACAGAATTTTTCTAATCAAATCACTTTTTACATGTTTTGTTAATAAAAGGATATCAATTTATAAAGTAAAATTTTACTTTTTAAAAATATGAATTATTATTGAGTATTATTGGGTAGTCAATTTTGTTAAAATAGGCATATATTTTATTAAAACAGGCACATAGCAATACATGGGATCCTTTATTCTGACTCGTGTACATATGTAATTCACATCTTAAAAATATACAAAAAGAAAAGTAGTTTCATCACTTTTGATTGAGAATGAGTTCTAAATAACAATTTTCTAACATCTAAATTATTTTACCATCTTCTTCACTTAAGGTTGGGAGAAAAACTCTGCTTTTAGAGAAATCTTTTAAAAATATTTCCAATTTGTACCTTGAAAGATTATCAATTCGGAGTCCATATTTTGTCTCCGTCTCCTTCTTTCCCACCTTAACTCTGAATTCTTTATCTACCAGCAGTACGAAGGCAATAGCACCACTGTCTGGTTTCATATATAGTAAAAAGGAATCTTTTACTATCAACCACCTGTAAGAAGGAAATAAGTATTTTTAAAGTTGTACTGAAATACTGAAACAAAAAGAACAAATTATTATGACACATCTGAAGTAAACACTCTAGCAGACAGTAAACATAATTTTATTTTTTACACAAGGGATCTATTTTTTAAAAAATATGAAAACACTATAAAACAAGAAACAATAAAAAATCTTCCTAGTGTGATTTTTGAGAAGTACTGGCACCAAGCAATTCAAGATAATTCATTAGCTCTTTAAACACTAATGGCAAATCCTGGAAGAATGCCCCTGATATGGGCAGGCAGCGCTAATAGGATGCAAAGCAGGCGCCATAGTTGTTCGAAAAGTGTAATGGGTTGGTGTTTGCTAAAATAAACCACCATAAAAGAGGCCAATGAGGGGCTTCCCTGGTGGCGCAGTGGTTGAGAGTCCGCCTGCCAATGCAGGGGACACGGGTTCGTACCCCGGTCCGGGAGGATCCCGCATGCCGCGGAGCGGCTGGGCCCGTGAGCCATGGCCTCTGAGCCTGCGCATCCGGAGGCTGTGCTCCGCAACGGGAGAGGCCACAACAGTGAGAGGCCCGCGTACCGCAAAAAAAAAAAAAAAAAAAAAAAGAGGCCAATGAGTCTGAGTAAGTAAAACCCCCCTTTCAAGAAAATCCAGTAAGCATCCAAAAATCTACATATTGTTGTTCATTTCAAATTATTGGTGGCTTTAAGGACCATTAATAAATGATGCTCAGTGGAACATGGTCTCTCAAAAGTATATGGGCATTCAATCCAATATCTATATGAGAGCCTCGTGATGCAAAAGTACAGTGATAAACTGGGAGTTTGGGCAGAGGTAGAAACAACACAGAGATAAATCAGACATGTTCTCAAAGGAGCTTATTAGGCTAGTGGGGCACGATGACAATTCTAGGCTGAATGGATAGGTACTAGAGGAAAAAAGCAAAAAGTGATGTGTGTAAGGAGGGGGGAGTCCTTAGTTCTCACTAAGAGAATGAGCTAGTGGCATTCTCCCAAAGAGCTGGTGTCTGAGGGAGGCCAGGAAGAAGCCCATCACGTAGAGCCCAAAGGGTTCAAGGTATACATCCCGTATGGAGGGAAGTTAGCAAAGGCTCTAACGTGTGGGAATGCTGCCTGTATTGGAAGAAAGTCTGGAAGAGGCCGGGGTTTCAGGAGGTGTAGTATGAGAAAATGGACAGTGAAGTTAGGTGGGGTGGGCGTGGGGAACAGGCAAAGGCCACACTGAGGAGGGTCTGAAGGCCATGTGAAGGAGGATGACTTTACATCATGGAACCAGTTTTTTCTAAACTTGCCTGATCATCAGAATCTCTTGAGATGCTCGTTAAAAAAACAGTAGATTCCTAGGCCCTACCATAGATCCATTAAAAAGGCCGGACAATCTGTGTTTCTAAAACAACACCCAGATGCCTTTTAAATAAAGGAATCCTCCTGCCCTGGCAAGGCAATGGGACAATAAATCATGGGAACTATATTTTAGAAAGAAAGGTCTGAAGGATAAAGAAGGATGTTCTGTAGCAGGTTAGCAAGCTGCTGTAGTAATAGAGAACAGTGCTTCTCACCACTTCACTGTGAATATGCATCACCAGGGGATCCTGTTAAAATGCAGATTCTGATTCGGTAGGCCTGGGGCGGGGCCTGAGATTCTGCATTCTAACAAGACTCGAAGGGGATGCTGAGGTTAGGACCTCACCCTGCATAGTCAGGACGCAGATGATAGGCATGACACTGACAGTGGCAAGAGCGAGAGAGAAAGGGTGGGATTGATTTGAAGTGAAAACAAATGGCAACTTTGTCAAGCTGCATGTAACATCATATTCACCTGAGATAGTATAGTGATCAAATGAATCGGTCGATAACTAAATAAAGTAACAATGGGAGTATTATATCACACACTAGGCAACGTAAAGCACATTATGAAATAGGTAAGGCCAGAACACCTGAACATAAATTGACTAATACTGTAAACGTAACATGTGAACTCAGCATTTAAAAGAAATGTATAACAAATCATTACTGAAATTGCTAACCACATTACATTTTAGTGCCTCTCTAATTTGGGATTTAATGTAGACAAATCTACATTGATTTCCACATGGTTTCATTTAATTCATTTGTTTTTTAATATATAGGCTGTCTCCTTTCCAATAAAAGGGCGTGGGATGGATTTAGGATAACATAATAAAGGACATACATGTGCTATGGTTAATAAAAAGGAAAAATATCAACGTCACAGAAAGCAAACACCTAACCACAACACTAATATAATTATGGTGATGGCATGCCAATGTGGGTTTGAGCTTCCTGGTTTTTCCGTCTTTTTTTTTCTTTTTTTGTAAATTTATTTATTTATTTTTGGCTGATTTGGGTCTTTGTTGCTGCGCGCAGGCTTTCTCTAGTCACGGCGAGCAGGGGTCATTCTTCGTTGCGGTGTGTGGGCTTCTCATTGCGGTGGCTTCTCTTGTTGCAGAGCATGGGCTCTAGGTGCGCGGGCTTCAGTAGTTGTGGTGCACGGGCTTAGTTGCTCCGCGGCATGTGGGATCTTCCCGGACCAGGGCTTGAACCCATGTCCCTGCACTGGCAGGCGGATTCTTAACCATTGAGCCACCAGGGAAGTCCCTTCCTGGTTTTTCTTATCAAATGAATAAATTAAGGACATAAAGAGGTCGCCCACCAAAAAACTAAATTCCAAAGGAAGTTTCTCACTTGGAACCTAATAAGGCAATTGAACAATATTAATGGGTAACATTCTCAATAATTTTCAGCAAATGCAGAAATTTATGTTTTATAAGAATTCTCATAACTCTGCTCAATATAAATGCCAAGGCCATGATATCACATGGTAACTAGGGCATTCTGATGGGGCTGAGTTATGAGTCCAGACATGTAGCTGCCTGTTGATAAAGAGATGGTCAAGGTTAAAAGAGAGTAGATGGATCAAATATCTGGTAAAGGTCCTTCTTTAGCTACAGTCCCTTGTCCCAGCTTGACTTTCAATGCAAGCTAGAGAGCAGACAGCAGGGCACAGGCCCAGAGCTCCGGTGTGCTATATTGCTGATGGGGAAGGAGCCACAGGCTTTGAAAACCACAGCTGGCAGGTTTGTCACACTGAGAAAGAAAGTCCAAGATGTGGAGCCTGGAAATACAGAACAGTTTAGTAGTGACTGCTGGAGTTTGAAAGTTGAAGGCCAAAGATACTGGTTTCCATTTTGACAATGATGAGTTGTTCTCTACAATGGTCATTAGATATAAGGTGAATGGATGCCTGGCCTTTATTTAAAGCTCTTCTTAATCATGCCATTCGTTAAACCTCTTCTGGTTTCTCCCTTTTCTCTCTTTTGTCAACAGATGTTTTTCTTTAACAGGAGAATATGCATCAAGAAGGAATCCACCAAGCAGCCTTCAGGGGGTCAGTCCCTGCTGCTCAGGGACTAAGCGTCTGCCTTGAAGTCAGCCTCCCTGGGCTCCAGTCCCTGCTGCTCAGGGACTAAGCGTCTGCCTTGAAGTCAGCCTCCCTGGGCTCCAGTTCCGGTTTTGCCACTTGTGCACTTCTGTGAACTTGGGTAACTGAGCCTGAGGTCTAAATCCATAAAATGAGGATAACAATAATGCCCAGCTCATAAGTGTTTGTGAGGAATCACTGAGATGATTCATGGACATTGCTTAACACAATACCTGGCACCAATATACGTGAGCTTTTATGAGTACTCTTGTTCTAAACAAGGTGAGATTACGGTCTGTTCTAACAAGATGTGACCGCCTGTGCTACTACTTGCCGTGTCATTAAGATAGAGAGAGACCCACATGAGCCAGACATCACCTTCTCAGCCTCGTCTCCTCCCCTTCACTCCCACCACGGTGGTCGCACTGGTCCTGAGACTTGCTACACTTGTTCTTTGGGCTTCCACGTTTGCTATTCCTCACCCAGAAATTATTTCTTCCAGATCCTCCCATGGGCAGTCCCCTCCTATCTATCAACCTTTGGTTTAAACATTCCTCCACAGGGAGGTTTTCCTGGGCTCCCATCCCACCCACTACTCCATCCTGTTTAGCTTCTTCATAGCACTTATCACTATCTGGAACTATTTATGTCTGCTTGTTTATTGTCTCTCCTCCACTAGAAAATGAGAGCCTTGAGAGCAGGTAATGTGTGTCACGTCCACTGGTATCTTCCCAGGGCCGAGAGCAAGTCTTCAGGCAAAGCAATCCTTTTGCCTAAATAATGGCTGTACAAATGGGCCCCAGAGAGTAAATGAAATCATTTAGACACTGTCACTGTCTAAAAATTGTAATTCTTGGTATAGCTCACAGTTCAGTAAAGTAAATGCTAAATGTGTTAAAAACTTTCTCTTTCTTTTAAGACATTATTTGAGATAAGAAACATCATCTAGTCCATCAATAGGATGTGCTGTTTAAGTAGATGTTTTAAATTGTGGGAAGAAATGTTTGCTGTGTTTGCCATTTTTTTTTTCTTTCTACTTGTGCCTGAGACAAGGTCATTATGAGACTTGATTGAAAGTTTGATTGCCTTGTTTGCCTTATGGCAATCTGTCAATATAGAATATATAAAGCAATCAGAATGGTTTTTTATGGATACAAAAATAACAAAAAGAGTTATGACCGAGTGTTGCCCTTAAAAGTAAGCTCCCGTTTAGACACCAATAGCCTTCTAGTGTGGGAAATTTTCGAAACAAATTTTGTCAGCTATATCTTATCATCTTTATTTGGTACTGACATTTTCTACCCCACGAATGTGACTCAGGAAATACTTATTCATATGGAACCAAGGCTTCAAGCTTCACGGAAAGATGTATACAATTTAAAATGATGACACATTTCATTCCTGGGAGGATCATATCTTTTTAGATTGTCCTGGTTGAAGTCTGATATAATCCAGACTTTAAAAGTCGGGGAGGTGTATTTCCTTTATATAACAAAGTCTTCCCCCCCATCTTTTCGGGCTGCCCCTTCTCGTAGAGGTTAAACTCAAACATCAGTTCCTTGGCTCCCAGAGCTAAAGTCGCCATCTGCAGTCCTCAAGTCCCTCATTATCCCCTTGCCTTCTTTTTCCTTCGAAGCTCTGATCACCACTTGCGTTGATGTTGTTCACATTGCTTGTCAGCTTCTCCACTGCCTGCGTTCCCCTCCAATAGAGCTCTGTGAGGGCAGGGACCTCGTCTTGTTCACCACTGTTCTCACAGCGGCTAGAATACAGCCTGGCAAACGTTAGGCACTCAATAAATGACAAAAGGGACCAGATCAAGGCTTCCATTTCTTTTTTTTTTTTTGCGGTACGCGGGCCTCTCACTGTTGTGGCCTCTCCCGTTGCCGAGCACAGGCTCCGGACGCGCAGGCCCAGCGTCCATGGCTCACGGGCCCAGCCGCTCCGCGGCATGTGGGATCCTCCCGGACCGGGACACAAACCTGTGTCCCCTGCATCGGCAGGCAGACTCTCAACCACTGCGCCACCAGGGAAGCCCATGCAGAGCAATTTTTGAATCCTATGGTCCACTAGGTCTTTATGTATACAATTGGCACACTCTGCTTACAAGTCCAAGTTTGAGTAGAATGTTTAAATAGAACTAAAACCTGGAACTTAATTTAAAATTTGCTCTGCCATGACTTTCAAAGATTTATCACTGAAAACTAGTATATAAAAACTCCCCAAATACTCAGTTTATTAAAACAAACACACAAAACTCTCAAGTCCTACCTTTTGGACCACCGGTAGCAGGCCCTTCCCTGACCACAGCAGTTCAAGCCTGGTATTCTGTGTCCACCGGATCTTTTCATTATCATACCTTCTCTGAAAGAGACATCAAGTTAACCCATCATCTTCAAGCTTCCAGCTCACACTTAGCTGATACAGCCTCACAACTTAGAACTAAATATACCGTTTCATTCTCCCGTGTCTTTCCTCCCCAGTTTTTCCTCTTTCACTGTCAAATAGCTCAATGCTATGTTTACTAGGCTGAGTACTCCAGCAGCTAATCTTTTAAAGTACTCCGGTCAGATGCAGGCCTGTTGGCACTGGGGGCAGCATAATTCTGTTACACACACTGCAGGACCGTAAGCATTCCAGCTTCTGGCTCTAAATGCTGAGCGTTCCCTCCAGTCACTGTGACAGCCTGAAAAAGACCCCACACGTTGCTAAATGCCTGCACGGGGAATGTTCAGCTGCTGTTGAGACCACTGGAGGTGCTCACACACAGATTCCAGAGATATATTTCTGCATCCCTTCACCTACAGTTCTGGTACAAAGCCATGCCAAAGAAGCAGAGCAAAGCTATCAGCGATACTTTGGAAGAAAAAATATCCTGGTTTTGAAAGATGTGAAAAGAAAGAATAATAATAATGGCTAAACAAACAAAAATTAAAACAGCTGCTATCAATGCTCTTTACTACAAAAGTTAAGCTCTTTGTAATATCAGGCTCTCATATTATGAAGGAAAATAATCATTAAGTAAATTTCAATCCTGTTACTTGGCATACATTTTATACAGTATTATTTTTAGTATAAGTGATTAAAAGAAGGGATCTTGTATATTTGATTTTTAAGGCATTCTCCCACACATCATATTTGCTACCTCTGTTAAACACCCCTACTCTGGGGTTAGAGGAGGAAAGTAGAGCAGTTGACACCCTTGTTTGAAGTAGCAAGATACGCTGTTTTGTATAAATAGGTCCCTCAGTTGCTCTAACTGTTGGGAAGAAAAGCAGCTATCAGTGAAGCCAGGTGAGCTCTATCACCTTGGCAAATGTTAAAAAATCAAGTGTTAATGCTCATCGACTTTTCACACTCCTCCTTAGAGATCCCACACTGGAACTTACATGCCCTTTGGTCCCAAATCATGGATGAAGGACAGCTGGCTTATATCAAGGAATTCTGTCTGAAAAGAGGCCAAAAATCCAAACTTTAGAAGGCAAAAAAAAGCGGGGGGGGGGAATTTATGCATTCAGAAAGATATTATTAGGTACCTTCATGTATAAACACGTCTGGGGTACTCTACAGACGACACAGATCAATAACAATGGTATTGCCCTGAAAGAGTACATTTTAGAAGCATATATACACAATTAATACAATCAAGAAAGTGACGTGTGCTCTAAGATGAAGAGACAAATGCTCAAGAAGGTCATGGAGAGATCTGCCAATGGCAGCAGACCATGGCAGTAACAGCCTTAACAGAAAATTAAAGACAAAAACGATACACTCCTGGCATTAGGAGGCAAAGGGGAGAACAGACATGGAAAATACTCCACATCAACCAAGTTCTATGGGAAGAACCATAACAGTTACATGGAAAAGTAGTTATAAAGTTAGAGAGTTATAGGGAGAGGGTGACCACTTCCTAGCTAATGTGACATCACAGAGGAAACGGCACTTGATCTGGGCTTGTAAATGGGATTAATAAAATGAAACATAACAATTTTCCTTTGAAGTTTTGTATACGTGATTGGGACTCTCTAATATTAGCCTTGTAAGAAAAATTACACACCTCTCAAAGCTGTCAGTACTTGTGAAGTCCAATGAAATGCTTAGTTTTCTTTCTTAGGGTTATTTGAAGAAGTCTTTGAAATTCAAAAGGATTTAAATATCTTTAAAAACCCCAAATCAAACATATCCTCACATAGGACTTTTTATAAGGATTTTGAAAAAGTCAAGGTCTTTACATTTTATTTCTTATATAAAACGTGGTAATTCGGTACCACACATTTTCAAAATCTGATTTGTGGAACTGCTTTCTAATCAGAAAATATAGAAATACATAGGTTACTAGAAGTGATACCACAGACTTTAAGCCACAGAATCCAAAATGTCTCAAGATCCTAAGCCATAAGTTCTCATTTTATCTCTAAGGAGCAGAGAGAAAAATACTAGCCCTGGTTTACACTGGAAGAAACTACTACAGAGGTGTAACTAAATTATGCAAAGTCAGAGACTAGTTGAATGGAAGAATAGGAAATGAAAAGCAAACATCAGGGAAACCACTTATCTATTACCTGGATATCTTCTTATGCACATAGCTCTTATCAAATAGTTGACAACAGAAATATTCATTGAACTAATTCAGAAACGATAACTTCAGAATATCATACCAAAATTGCTAAATGTAAAGAATTTAATCTAAATAAAAAGGTACACATTAGCAATGCAGAAAATTTAAAGTTGTGTATTAAGATAAAATTTAAATTTATCCTAATGGTTTACTAAAGAGAAATCTGGAGGAAGAACTAGTCTTATTACATAGAAAAAAAATATTTGGCAATAAATGTTCTAATACAGATTTATGGATTTGAAAAAAAATGTGGCAAAGCCAATTTAGAAGCAATCCTAAATAATACAATTTGAAATATAATATGGTATTGTCCAAACTTCTCCATGCATTTTCAAGGATAAGAATTCCATTCTCGATTTGGGCAGGCGATTCTCAGGAATAAGAATTTAAAGATCAATTTAGCCTGACAATAGTCCATAGGGCTTATTGATCTCTGAATAATGTACTAATCAATATCTTTTTTCTTTCCAATGGAACTGGTGAAAAGCACATTTAAATGTTAGGGAAACAGGGAAGCAAAGGGTTCCCATGCCAAAGGGACAAGCAACAAACCTGAGGGGTAATAACGGACCCTAGAAATTACTAGGGGCTCGTTTTACACTTATAAAAATATAAGTTAATTATATGTAATTATATAAAAATAACTTTTAATATGTTTTGTGCAGACAGAAGTTTTAATATGTCTCACAATTATCAAAGGAGACACACAGATGCCAATCTAATTTCTCGAATATGAGACAGAGGCCTGCAAATCTAGTCTCTGGGACAAATTATAATTAGTGTGAGAGGAAAATAACGTTAGAAAATTAAGACAGATCAAATTGTATCCCATGCTTGAAGTATTTCGGAGAATTCCGCTGTTAGGGAGAATAATCTAAGTAGCCACCAAAAAAGAGGGATTGCCTGGCAGCTGGCAGTACAGTGGTTAGGACTCAGTGCTTTCACTGCCGTGGACCCGGGTTCAATCCCTGGTCAGGGAACTAAGATCCTGCAAGCTGCGCAGTGCAGCAAAAAATAAAATAAAATAAAAAATAAGAAGGAACATATATATTCAGTCAGTTTAAACCAGGTTTTCCCTTCCAAAGGAAATGTTTAGAAGACATTCTGGAATATCTAAATACAATATGGCTCAACTTTTAAAAGATTTTTATAATTGGAAAAGAAATTAAAATGAACATTTTGAAAAAATGTAACCATTTAAAAATCAACATTAGACTCCAAAATATAGAAAGGCACGCAGAAAAAGAAGACTAAACTCAGCAAGTACTGTTCAAGGGCCAAAAGAAATATTAAAGCCAAGTCACAGGCAGGCAGGAAAGTAAAACAAATGGAAAATTATTGCATGCTGGTACTAGCACGCATTTAAATAATTCTCTATCAAAGAAAACAGCATGTCTGATTTCAGAGAATACGACAGGAAGCAGCATTTTTAGTAATAATAGAAGTAATATCCTTATTCGTTATGTTCTTTCAAAGATGCACATTCCTGAGTCCTAGAAAGGAAGAAATCCTTCCCATCAGCCTTCTCTTGAGGTTCTCTGGTTGGATCCAAATTGCTGGTTTCCCTGGGAAAACGCTTCTCCAGGATTATGAAACCACAGAAGGTCCTTTAAGTCAATGGAACATCACAGTGCAAGTTGCTGCAGAAGGTGGGCTGTGGCCCGGCCCCAGGTCGTTTGTGTGTAAAGGGGACCAGCTAGGTGCATGCCCAGCATCCATTAACACATAGGCAGGCAGCAACAGGGCAGCGAGGCACCAAAAAACTCCCAAGAGTCAAGGCACCCTTGCTTCCTCTCCTAAATACAGTAGGCTTCCCTCTTTCTGTTCATGTGTGCATGCCATTCTCTAAACTAGAGGCCGAATCATAGCTGCAGCTACTCTGAATTTCTGCACACATACCATACCCACATACTCAACCTCCACAGCAATACGGTTTATACATACACAGGCACAGAATATGATAATGCAGTGCCCTCTCAGTTATCTGAACCTTTGGATAATTGAAGGCTAACCCTTTAACACCACCACCACCACCACCACGCCCCTACCCCTGCCCCAGGCCTCCAGGGCCTCTAAGAAGGCAGAGCTCATTGTTTTCCGATGCCTTCTGTAAAGCCCACTTCCTCCTGCTTGCCAGCCACGTGCCTCCCAAACTTAAGTCTGTGCAGCTGCTTCCAAGCCTCACCACCTCTCCTCTCGTTTCTCTGAATTCTCTAGAGCTTTATCTCTCCTTAGCTTTTCCCATGCTTCTCACTTACTCGTGAAAAGACAAGCCTTTTACAGGCATCACAGGCCAATCAGATGGCAATCACAGTATGCTCTGTATAATCTTTGGGTATTCCACTCTGCTCAACTGTTTTCATCACCTACTACTCAATGTTTTTTCTTCAGCATTAGAAATGCTTTTCGGCATTATTCTGGAAGCCTGAGGAGAGAAGGAGGTTGATTTCTAGATAACCTAGCCTGTGGTAGCATTTCAAGTTCATTTAAATCTGTTGTTATAGACATATTAATTGTTATAGTTGATATTTTAAAAACAGCATCCTCATATACTGGATCCTTGCTGACAAATCAATTTTGGATTCATTTCATTTAGTTTAACCCAAGGAATAATGCAGAAGTGAATACAAGCACTTGTGTTAATAAAATGATCCAAAATTTAGCTTTACAGTTTTATAAATTATTTCAAAATTTAAATCACTGAATAGTACTTACTGTTGCATGATAGTTTCTATACATGGGCATTTTTAGTAATTTTGTCAAGTAATCCTCTAGTTGTTTCTGTAATGCAAATATTTTACATTAGAGATATCAGCATACTTAGGGGGAAATGTAAACAGTGACAAATGACATGACTGTTCCACCTTAACTTCTGTAAGTTATTTATTTATTTATTAATGTTTCCATTGGACAAGGAACCCTGAATACATCCCTCTCAGAACATAAAACTTTCAGATTACAAAACAGAACTGACATTTATGTGTTAATTTTCTGGTAAAAAGTGAATTAATCTTCTGCCCTATGCAGCACCATATCGCTGAATCAGTGTGGGCAGAAGTGTCCCCCGTCTTGAGGTTTCTGTTCTACTGCTGCACGTGTCTGTACTTTGTCCTTCTCTTCTGAGACTCTAACTGTCCCATCTATAGTTTGGGAATGATATTTACATATATTTAGAACAAGCCACTACAAATTCTTTTTAAATTTTTACTTATTTATTTTAATTGAAGTATAGTCGATTCACAATACTGTGTTAGTTTCAGGTGTACAGCAAAGTGATTCAGTTATACATACACACATACATATCTATTTTTCTCAGATTCTTTTCCCGTATAGGTTATTATAAAATATTGAGTATAGTTCCCTGTGCTATACAGTAGGTTTTTGTTGGTTATCTACTTTATATATAGTAGTGTATATATGTTAATATACAAACTCTTAATTTATCCCTCCCCCCACTTTTCCCCTTGGTAACCATAAATTTGTTTTCTATGTCTGTGAGTCTATTTCTGTTTTGTATATAAGTTCATCTGTATCTATTTTTTAGATTCCACATATAAGCAATATTATATGATATTTTTCTTTCTCTGGCTTACTTTGCTTAGTATGATATCTCTAAGTCCATCCATGTTGTTTCAAATGGCATTATTTCATTCTTTTTTTAAGGCTGAGTAATATTCCATAGTATGTATATAACACATCTTTTTCCATTCATCTGTCGATGGACATTTAGGTTGCTTCCATGTCTTAGCTACCGTAAATAATGCTACAATGAACACTGGGGTGCATGTATCTTTTCTAATTATGGTTTTCTCTTGTTATATGCCCAGGAGTGGGATTGCAGGGTCATATGGTAGCTCTATTTTTAGATTTTTTAAGGAACCTCCATATTGTCCATAGTGCCCATAGAAGCCACTACAAATTCTGAAGCAAATATATGGAAATAGATTATTTTAAAAGAGTAGATCTCAGGGCTTCCCTGGTGGCGCAGTGGTTGAGAGTCCGCCTGCCGATGCAGGGGACACGGGTTCGTGCCCCGGTCTGGGAAGATCCCATATGCCGCGGAGCGGCTGGGCCCGTGAGCCATGGCCACTGAGCCTGCGCGTCCGGAGCCTGTGCTCGGCAACGGGAGAGGCCGCAACAGTGAGAGGCCCGCGTACCGCAAAAAAAAAAAAAGAGTAGCTCTCAAAGCCCTCAATGATGAGCTCAATCTTGCCTCACAATGAACCCCAAAAGGTTTCTGAGGGGTAGGAAGCTTCCACATAAAGTCACTCCTGACATAGAACATTCTTCCTCTTCTGGGAAAATGCAACCTCCCCAGGGCCAGAGTGGCTCGGGGAAGAAGGGTTACCTAACTAGTTCCAGAAAAGCTAAACCAGCCTGGGTGATGGATCAGCAGGTGAGAGAAGTTGCATCCAGGCCCACCTCCCCCCGCAGTAGATGCCAAGTTTCTACAGCACTGCACAAGTATGTTCAGAACAACAGAAGAGCGAAAGGACTCACCCTTCTACCAAACAACTGTTCTTCTCGGATCATGTTTTCAGATGAACGGGGCAAACTTGGCATCTCTCGAGGCTCTTCTCTGACATTCTGTCTTCTAAATGTGTGTCTAAAACACAGAGACACACACACACACAATGCAAACATTTATTAGATTATTCTTTAAACCATGACTGTCACAGCATCTTTCAGGAGATAGCTTATTTTTAGAAGAGACTATTTGATAAAAAAATATCCACCAACAATGGACCAATTAACCAATACCATGAATAAAATATTCTTTCAATCCAACTTGTATACTGGGACAACTTTATAATTAATTCTGGGACAGTTACCTTTTGGTGGGAATGGGGATTCGGATAAAGGCTTTGTACTTGAGCAGCTCTCTGTGAAATTCTTGGAAGTGCTTGAACTTCCTCTTAACTTGCCATTTAAATTCCCCATGTGTTAATTCAATAGTGTAAAGATTGATGCTTGGTACCTATAGCGATAAATAAAAATGGTTGATAGTTTAGATAACAACAAAAATTCCAAAATCTCTCAATGAACAATAGCTAAGTAATAAGTAACATGGATGTATCTTTAAATACAGCCTACTTATTCTGTGTAAGTACTGAAGCAAAAAGTTTTCCAAAACGACTGATGACAGAAGTAATATGCTCTTAAATATTCATCTTATGATATACATAAGACAAACTCGGAGTCACACCAAAGGTAAACCCCTATCAGTCCTATTGTTTCACATACACAGACACACACATCCACCCTTGAAACAAGAAACCAGGTAAAAGAGACAATGAGTGAAAGCCCTAATCAGCCATCGGGGGATTGTCCAAAAGTACAAGCAGTGAACAGACAGTGGAGGGGGTGAGAGGGAAGCTGGAGGAAATGACTTCCATTGTCATTCTTAGCCCACTTCAGCTCTTCACAAAAGACACTAATGCCCTCTCCTTCTGAAATGCCTTGCAAGGTCCATCCTCGTCTATAACGTCTCCCTGTCCTGAAGCAACACCAGTGACTAGGAAGGTACAGGATGATTAGAGGGAAGAAAGCAAAAGATCTTCCTACACACAAAATATTTCCCCAACTACTTAACTAGAATGAATTTCCACTTAAAATTTTTAAAATATTTCTTACTAAAACGCAAATATATCTTAGTGACTAGTGAATTATTTCAATCAGAAGAGCTAACAGACCTGGGGGATACAAGTTTTGATTTTGTGGAAAGTGTCAGGAGATGGAGGGATATTTATAAAGCACAGGAGATTGTGGAGAAATTCCCATGGTGTGTGGAGGATAGGGGAGGGTAGTGGACACTGGACCACCTAGAGGGCACTGGCCCCCGCTGGGAGATTGAGGCGCCACAGGTATTGGTAAGTGTTGGGGGTGAAAGAAAGTAAATGTCTCCTACTTTACTAGCTTATCCAGGCTTTGGTGTCAGCAACCCCAAGGGTGATTCCCGGGCTGCTGCCAATCATTATTGATGTTTGGTATATTTTGCAAACTTCTAAAGCATGGACCACGCTGTGTGGATGTAGTATATAAAAATGAGCACGAGAATCAATGTAACTCGTACTCTTAAGCCTGGAATCCAAACATATCGCTGGTAAATATTCAAATCCAGCTCTTGCTTTGCCTCTAGTTGGGATCCATGACAGTTACTATAACCAGAAGTCGAAAAAACCCAGTTCTGGGGTCTAATATTATATGCTGTCTTTCACCTTGGCCAACATTACAGGCATCATCCTGCATCGTGTTTCAGAGAGAAGGTTGCAGGAGAACTCAGAGCGGTCAGAAACTCTGCATTCAAGTGAAAAGTACTCAGTTTAACACAAGCCAAATAAATAAGAAAAATTATACAAGTTAAATGAGCTGCCCCATATCCTAGGATTACATTCCCAATCTAAGAAAACTGAATACTTAAAAAACACTGCAAGTGCCAAGTTTTAGCCTTCACACATAAACCCAGAATTGTGGACACTAAACTTCTTAGCAATTCTAAGGCAGTGTGGGGCAATGGAAACAGCCTGTCTCATCCTTTCTGAAGATTTTAAAGGCTTGAAACACTGTAGTGCAGCCTACCAGCTATGAAGCCTTAGCGGAGCATCACTTCTGTCAGATAATATCCCAGCAGAATTACTGGAATTTTTTGGAACTGGAATAGTGTGAGAAGTTTTAATAAAGGGACTGCCCATGAAGGTGTGATAAGAGTAAGGAAACCACAATGTGAGGACAGTTACCTGGGACTCAGGAAGGCATCCCCAGTTCCAAAGGGACAAGAGGCAAGACCAGGTGCTGGAGTAGGAAGGAGAGAGCCATGTAAAGAGGCTGCCTTGGGGGGAGGATGCCTTTGGTCAAGGGACACAGCCAGGCCAGGGTGGCCCCAGTCTGGGCTCTCCACTGCCTGAACCCTGCCAGAAGACAAAGGCAAGGAAGCCTTGGGGGGACAGAGCACAGGGTGGAGAAGGGTGGGAGGAGGAGTGGGAGGGGCAAGTGGGAGATCTGCTGGGGAGGCAGGGCAACATATGTCCCTCAGGGTCGTCATGAGAGTGAAAAGAGAAATGCCTAACCATGAGCCGGCACACAGAATGCACTCAGTCATTAGAAAAGTGTCATTTTTATTTACCTGAAATCACATTCAAACTGCATGAATTTAGTTCATATTTCTTAGTAAACTAAACACTAAGTAGGATAAGGAAGCTCCTTAGCTTTCCTACACAGACTAAGATTTAAAACAGAACTTGAAATTAATATAATATTGTAAATCAACTATACTTTAAAAATTAGGATCCAAAGGAAAAATGTTAATATATATAAAAAAAGAACAGAACTAAACTCACTTGACCAACGGAAGAGTATGAGCAAAGAGAAGTCCCTGGTTTGGTGGCTTAAATATTTATCTTCATAAATAACATTAGCAGATACCTAGTAATAATAATAATACATAGTATTATACAGTATATACTTGTATAATACAATATATAATTTTCTTATATTATACTATGTTTTATTATTATTAAACCCTCATAACAAACCTAAAAGGTGTGTCCTATGATACCTATTATTCAGATGAGGATAAGCTGAGAAACAGAGAGTTTAAGTAAATGGCTGAGGGTCACAATGCAAAGACAGGAATTAAACCATGTGGTCTGGCTCTGGAGTCTGTGCATTTAACCTCCACATGTTATCACCTCTCCATCTAAATGCTGGTAGGCGAAATAAGAAGGCAAAGGTCATTTTAGAGACATTTCTTGGTAGGCTGTGTTCAGTGGTGTATCAGGGAGATATGGACCCAACTCACAGGAAGAGCCTGAAGGAAAGCTGAATACCGAGGTGGCTGTAAACTAGGAGCCGGGACATGCACAGGTAGGTCAGGGCAGAGCGCGAGGCAAAATCATCAGGAAGCGGGCAGCACGTGCCACCCTCCAGAGCCTGCCCCCGGCGGAAAGATTATTCTACATCTCCCCGGAGGCAGGAGCCAATGGCTGCCTTACTCTGCCAGGGCCAGAGCTTAACTCGAATGGACCAAGGTCACCAGCCTGCGTCAATGTTCTCTACCCTCAGACTTGACAAGTGTGAAATCCAGTCAGTAACAGAGCAAACGCAGCTCCCCTAACAGCTTCTCCTAGTCCAATCCCCTTCAAAAGAATGCAGGTTTGCTTGATGAAAACTCTACTCCCAATGCCTTTCCAGAGCTTAAAGAGAAAACGTGAGTGAAGCTTAAGGGATGGTGTTAGGAACAAGTCAGAAGGGCAGGGTATGCCAGCAGAACTCTCTCAGCAGCACTTCTGGGCAATGGCACTGGCCAGTGCAGCCTCCTGGCTTTGTTTCTTTCAAGAGCCAGGTAGTATCATTATTTTCTTGCTGAACAAGCATTAGGAAAGCTAAACTTTTCCTTGACTTACATCTGGCATTCTAGGTGTTAGAGCAATGCCTCACGAGTCCACATGGAACAGAAAACTGGGGAGAGGCCCTTTGCAATTTATTAAACTTACAATCTGCCTTAAGTGCCTTTTTAAAAAAGCATTTTCCAGAATGGGGAAACAGATGAATAAGAATAAAGACTAAATGAGAAGGATGCAAAAACTTGAGAGGTGATGAGCACTCAGAAGTGATAAACAAAAACACAAACTGAAAGTTAAAAGCATAGTCATAGCTAGGAGGAAGGAAACTGCAAGGCAATGTGTTAAATCGTATATATTGACGGATACCAGTTGAGTCTATAAATGCTCTGACCCTTTTTGTAGATGTTAAGCGCTCCACTTCCAGAACTTGAACTTTTATTGGACAGCCGGAGAGATACGTCTGTGTATTAGGCTCCTTAAATCCTTGAGTCTTATAAATAGCAGAGAAAGGGATATACACTAAAAAATAAATAAGTAAACAAAGTTATTTCAAGAATACAATGATATTAGCATAACTTGCTTTTTACAGGCATCTTTTTCTTTTTCTTGTTTTTGTTTTTGTTTTTGCGGTACGCTGGCCTCTCACTGTTGTGGCCTCTCCCGTTGCGGAGCACAGGCTCCGGACGCGCAGGCTCAGCGGCCATGGCTCACGGGCCCAGCCGCTCCGCGGCATGTGGGATCTTCCCAGACCGGGGCATGAACCCACGTCCCCTACATCGGCAGGCGGCCTCTCAACCACTGCGCCACCAGGGAAGCCCCAGCAGGCATCTTTTTTAAGAATCATAACGTGCTACAACAAGAAAACAGCTAATGAAAATGAGCTCCGAGTTGTGACATCAGCAAGGATGATCAATCATCTGCCGGTTATTTCAAATCTGTGCTCTGCCAAGCAACCCTGATACGCTCTCTTCTCCTCGCTCAGACCATCAGTCTTTACCTTCCCGTATCCTGGGATCGCTGGGAGACACTTCGTAGTCCACCTCCTCTCCCTCAAAGTGGAGCTCCCGCGTGTCCAGATTTTCTATCAAATTACTCATGTCAGCAGCAATTTTCTGCAGTGCAGAGGTATTTACTCTTGGCTCATCTTTCAGTGACATGTTGGCTTGAGACAGGGTAAAAGCAAAGGAAAGAAGAAAAGGGTTACTAGACTTATTATTTTGGTCAAATAGAAAAAAGAATGCAATAATGCCATTTGCAGCGACATGGATGGACCTAGAGATTGTCATACTGAGTGAAGTTAAGTCAGACAGAGAAAGACAAACACATGATACTGCGTACATGTGGAATCTAAAAAATCGGTACAAATGAACTTATTTACAAAACAGAAATAGAGTCACAGGTGTAGGAAACAAACTTATGGCTACCAAGGGGGAAAAGGGGAGGGAAGGGATAAATTGGGAGATTGGGATTGACGTATACACACTACTATGTATAAAATAGATAACTAATAAGGACCTACTGTATAGCACAGGGAACTCTACTCAATACTCTGTAATGACCTATATGGGAATAGAATCTAAAAAAGAGTGGCTATAGGTATAGGTATAACTGATTCACTTTGCTAAACACCTGAAACTAACACAGCATTGTATATCAACTATACTCCAATAAAGATTAATTTTTTAAAAACCCAAAAACCCTATTTTACTATTTAAATCCAGGCTTAGGTATAGCATAAGGAAACAAGTCAACTAGCTCTATGTGAGCCCCAGTTACCTCAAACAACCTTTTAATTTATTTTGAGTTTAACATTTAAAGGATTCCTAGCTTGTAAATTAAATTGGAATGAGATACTTACTTGTATCTCAAGTAAGAAAACAAGCAAGAAAAAGACACACCACACTGACTAAATGCCAATATTATCTTTCATCCGATTTTATTAACTTGGGTAAGTGAGGAGAGACTCAAGGTAGATGGGTTTGGGCATCATTATCCAGAGAAAAGGAATTGATTCTTGACTCTAACAAATACATGGGAAGAAAGAATACCAGCTAAAATAAGCAACTTTGAATATTTTCTACAGAAAATTTAGGGTATTTTACAATAATTTCAAGATGCAGATTTAAAAAGTATTTTTATGTAGCATAACCTTTCTACATTTCCCCTATAGGTGATATCCCCAGCAAACCATATACTATCTTTTTGAGATATGAGATTTGGCCATGACTTTACGCGAGTTATAGTGACGTACCTGTCCTGGAAGGTAACCAATTAGTATACCTATTCTGAAAGATACCAGAAGTGCAAGAACTGCACTTCTCTCCTTTTTTAGGAAAACTGGTTCTATTTCATTCCGACATTTAATAACACAGGTCATTGCACATCAGAACCCAGGAAAGAAGAGTCCACAGAGATTTTATTTTTCATTTAAAATACCAAGATTTAAGCCTTGAATGCTGTCACTGGAATTGGCTAAAAAATCGGTACAGGCTGAAATAATCTCTCCATTACAACCAGACCCAAAAATGCGAGGGCTTCCGTACCAGTAACTCCTCCACATACGTTCATTTATTACTGCAAATCACAAACATTTACAGAGTATCCACCACCTACTCACTGTGAGATGGAATGAGTGAATATGTAAAGACACTGGTTCCCACTATTAAGGAGTGCCTGATGTAGGTGATGGAGATATGCTACACGACCCCAAATTCATCCCTGGCCTCCTCCACGGTCTTGGCCTTCCTGAGAATGGCATGTGCTGAGCGGAAAACACTTAGCTGGGTTCTCTCCTACAGGTGCTATCAAGAAGCAGGGGTGGGCTGGTCTCTGTGAGAAATGCTAGGACAGAGTCTTGGGCAGACTTGGGGAGCCCTATTGTAACTCAACAAGTCTCTCAAACCTATACTAACATGTGTGGTAGAAAGAGAAATTGTATGGAAATACAAAGATGGGAGTAGAGGAGGGAGGTTCTGGTTTGGCCAGGCATGTAAAATCAATATATCTAACCTCTCTGTGAACTGTGTAGTCAATCACGTTTCCTCCCCCATGTTGGCTATAAGGAAGCTTGGAGCCAAATTTGTGGCCTCCTATTAGCAAAATATAGGACTAGCCTCGCCTATATCACTTCCCTTCTACGTTCTCTCCCACTTCTAATTCATTTTATAGTAACAGTTAATGTGTACTGATTGCTTACTATCACCTGGCTTGGTGATAAACCTTTATATACCTTATCACATTTATTATCAATAATAAATCTATGAAGGTTTGTTATTTCCATTTCGAAGAAGACAGGATTTGTCATCACCTCTTTATAGATAAGGAAACTGAAGCACAGAGAGATCAGGTAATTTGATGAATACTTTGGACAATCTGTCCAAGGTCACATAACTAGTAAGTGGAGAAGGGATTTGAAACCAGGTCTCTCTGATCCAAAAGCTGATGTTCTTAACCATGGCCTTTAACTTCTGTATATTTTTTGTAGATATGTAAGTGCCCCTAGAATAGATGGAAGTTTTAGTAAAACCAGTGCCCTTGAGCAAGTCCCTTTAGAAGCTGACTCAAATGCAAAGAAAAAGAAATGAATTCTTCTTGCAGCTCAGCCGTTTAAACTCAGGGCTCTGGTTTCCTCCTCTATAAATTAAGGAGGCTGAGCCATTTCATCTCTAGGGTCCCTTTAACACTAAAACACTAAATGTAAATAAAAGATGCTATAAATTGTTCAGCTTCCCCTTATAATGTAATCAAGTTAACCCTTCTCCTATCCCAAGAAATTAACTGAAGTAGTTTTTCATATGAATTCATATTCATGGATTCATTCTCATGGAGCCATTGCCATAATTAAAACATTAATTTCCTTCCCTCTCAGTTCAACAAATACTTATTAGATGCCAACTATGAGCCAGGGTTTACTTTATTTAAAATACAAGGTAATGAAAAACTTAAATGGAAATGAAACAAGGAAAAACAAGTAAGAAATTACATCACATCATTGCTGCTTGTGAATTTGTCAAGACGTTAGGTATTTTCCATTGATTAAACAGTCTAATGGCTAACTCAGTTAACTTTCTCAGCATAGCAAAGGAAAACAAGGGTTACTCCAAATGACTTTCCTTTGGGACTGTTAATGTTAAAAATGCATGTTGAATTTAAGATATACAGAGAACAGAGTAATTTATACATTGCAAGCTAATTGGAATAAATAGTCATTGGATCAAGCTAAAAAAAAATCCTATTTCAGATCAGGAGAACAGAAGGATATAAATTTGTGAAAAGCTTAAGGAAGAGTGAGAAAAGAAACAGAAAGGAATCCTCTTATCATTTATCCTCAAGTGTTTACTATGTGCTAAGCACCATTTGAGCTCAGTTATGTTATTTAGTACCCATAACGATCCTACTTGGTACTTAGGATTCTGACTTATCTGCATTCAAAACTTTGATTATTTAGTTAAATAACTTGTCCAAGGTCACTCCAGTTGTGTCAGTGTTGAATTTATAAAGCAGATTTGTCTGGCTCTGAAATCTCATGGACTTGGTTATAGAGGTTCGTAATTATTGATTTTATTTTGTGGGCTTGAATGTCTATAAATTGATCATTTATATGACGTTGAAGTTCCATAACAATAGATACTCTTTAATCATCACCCTTTGAAGGGATCCTCCTGGTTCCACTGTCATTACAATTAAGGAAACAACACATCCTGACAGCATCCTAAACTTTATCTTAGCCTTTTATTTTTATGGTTCATAATATTTTATAAGGTTACATGGAATTTCAGTTGACTCAAAGGCTTTGCAGATTTGTTTATGCTTTTGTGAAGACCTTACCATTTTTATTAATGGGAAATGAACCAAATTATTTGTCTATTACTGCCTTCACTTGAGTGCATGGTTGCTTTGTGTTGACTTTTCATCCAACAAGTGTATTGCTGGTTTCATTCTTGAATATGAAGCTGTAAGGCCACCAACACTCTTATGCTGTCAAATCATAATTTATTAGTCCATGTTTTCTTTCATCTAAAATAATATATAATGGTCGGTGAGCAGCTGTCACAGTTACAGCCTATCTTAACCAGCAATGCGATAAGGTCTTGCAGTGTTTACACTTGAGATAGTGTCATTGATTTTGTTACCTCCTTATAAAATTATACTGCAAGATCATTATCTCTTTTGGTACCAAGTAGAGACGGTGCCCATGGAGCAATAACAGCAGCTGTGTTTTATTTCTATTTGCATCTGTATCCGGGAAGTAAATACGCTTTGTTTTTTTCTGGGGTTAAATACTAGAATTAAAATTCTTTGCAGGGAATATTTAATTACCTCCAGTTATTTACTGGTGAAATCAGAGAAATTTAGAATTTCCTTCTGATCTTAGTTTTCAACATGATTGGGAAGCAGAACATCAAAGGGAGCAGATATTTTCCTTCCCAGATACACGCATAAACATTGCCTTAGCCAAAATACAAGAATAATAATATCAACTATAACTATTAACATTAAAATATTAACATTAGCTAATATTTGCTGCATATGTACTACCTGCCACGCACTATACAAAGAGATTAATCGCATGATCTCATTGACTCCTCACAACAACCTTAGGAGCTGGGTCTTATTGTTACCTCCATTTTCAAGATGACAGGTTTAGAGAGCATGGGCAACTTGTCCAGAGCCACACGGCTGGAAGTGATAGAGTTGGACCTGACCCTGCTTGATCTGACTCCAAAGTCCAGCTCTTTAACCAGCCGGAGGTGGAACTGGGGGTGGCAGGACGGAAGGACACTTTTACTTCTTCACATAGTCTTAGAATAAAACAATTCAAAAAGGAACAATAATAACAAACAACACCCCTCAACTTCCATTTTGTGAAGATGACTGTGATTCACTTCTTGCTTCCCTTTCTAACGTAAGTTAGAAAGTTTCCCCCATACTTTTTTCAATATGTGATGTTTGTTTACCAAGGGAAATAAATGCAATGGATTTCTAAACCAAAAATCACACTGTATGAATATGAAATGAATTATACTTAGATCATTTAAAACCAAACTGAGTCATGGGAATTTCTTGTCTTCCCATTTCTCATTTTGATGAAATTAATTGGCAGATCCATACTACGTAACCTCCCCCAAACATATTATACAGCAGTGATTTGTACGGAACTGA